TGTTTAGGGAGTCATGTTGCTTTATAGAGGTGACTGACATTAAATTTACACCTAGGATTTACGATTGGATCTGTAAGCTCTGTCTGAAGATTGTCTTGTATATGTTCTCAATTTTAATATAATAATCGTTCTTTTATGATAAAAAACACACTCATATTAGATTTTCCTATTCCCAATGTTCGTGATTATGCCAAAGAAACAAATTGTCGTAGTCAAAGAAAAAAACGGAGTACATTTTCTTTAATCTAAAATGGATCGGTACGTTCACCTAAAGGCTGGTGTGAATACAATGTTATTTTAAGAAAACCAAGGTTAAGAATTAAAAATCATTACCTTAAAATATACGAAGTACATAACTACATACTACGCAGGGGCGGAGTCAGGGTACAGGGCCGGTACAAAGAATACTCTTAGGAAAAAAATGCACGAAATTTTTTACTTTAAAAATTAGGCCATTTTTTAAATTTGAGTGGGCCATGGCCTAGGTTGGCCCCACCCCTAGCTCCGCTAATGATACTACGTATATTCTTTAAAAAAACATGCATACTCAGTTGCGGAGCCAGAAATCTATAGTTAAGGGAGCTGGACTTTGAAAATTTTGCATTACGGGAGCCAAAGTTTAAAATATCAATATATTTTCTATAGATTAAAAGTATTTTTTCATAATATATACTTAAGATTTGTTTCTTTGCGGGGGCCGAGGCTCCCTCTAGCCCCTCCTTGTCTCCAGCACCCTGGTGCATACTCCAATCAACCAAATACGAGTATGACACTTTTTCTACGCATCTAGCTGTGATATGATTACCATCAAATTAGACCCTCAAAGTTTCTTACCTAGTTACCTCCAATGCACAAAAAGTCATACTTTCTTCCATTCTAATATATAAAAAATTAAAAATCTCTATTATTGAAAATATGAAGTCAGATGATGTAAGGAAATTTTCTCTATATATAAACTTCATATCTAAAGTCTTTCTTTCAAATACGTACTGCGAGTAAATCTTATTCAGATCGAACGATATAACATACGTAGTACGGAGTATATCACTATTATGGCAACCCTTCATTATGGAGCTTCAAGCTTTTCACTGGTGAATTCATCATCAAAAATATTTTCGGCGACATTATTCCGTCGGAAAACCGTTATTTCTGCCTCCTCAGGCGGACTATTGGTGAATATTCCTAGTATTCGTCGAACAATAATAACTAGCCTCCCAAGAATCTTTCAAAAACAAGGATCTCCAATAGTTGATGAAGGACTAGACCAAGAAGTCATCACCTTCACCGCGACGGCGACGATGAGGACAATCTCGGACCCGTTCGTAGAGAAACTTCAAACCCGTTTTAGCACCGATGAGGCTGCAGATCCTCTTATCATAGCGAAACTTCACGCTATCAAGGAGGCTGTATCGGACAGGGTGGAGATGCACAGCAATGTGTGTGAGCAAAGGAACAACTGGAATAGCCTCTTGCTAAACGCCGTCAATGGCATCGTTCTCGCTGCAACTACTACTACGTTAGCCGGATTTGGCTTTTCCGGTGAACCGCCACTGCCTCTTCATAACCTACCCTCTACGGTCTTGTACCTATCCGCGACGGCGTTGCTGGTCGTGATGAATAAGTTCCAACCATCGCAGCTGGCGGAAGAGCAAAGAAATGCGACTAGGCTTTTCAAAAACCTCCTTACCCAGATCGAAACAACCCTATCAATGGGTAATGCCACGAGTAGTGAGGTCACAGACGCCATGCGTAGAGTGCTCGCTCTTGACAAGGCTTACCCACTTCCCCTGCTCGGAGCTATGCTCGAGAAGTTCCCGAGCTCCGTCGCTCCAGCCACGTGGTGGCCGGAACAGGCGCACGCAAAGAAGAGCGACGGAGGGCGGCTTTGGGTCGATGCTCACCGCGGGTATACGAGTAACGGGTGGAGTGAGGGTTTAGAAGAAGAAATGAGAGAAATAGTTAAGCTCATGAAGGTTAAAGATAAAAAAGAGTATATAAGGCTAGGGGAAAAGGCCTTGAAGCTAAACAAACTTCTAGCCATTACAGGCCCCACACTAACCGGAGTCGCCGCCATTGGGTCATTATTGGCGGGACCATCGTCTTCTTGGGCGGCGATCATTGGTGCGGCAGCAGGGGCGGCCGCCGTTGCGGTGAACACGTTGCAGCATGGAGGACAAGTTGGAATGGTGTTCGAGTTGTATCGAGGAACTGCAGGGTTCTTTGAGTTCGTGGAAGAGTCCATTCAGTCAACCCTTAACGAGAGTGATTTGGAGTATAGGGAAAATGGGGAACTCTTCCAAATGAAGTTGGCACTGATGCTAGGAAGGAATTTGTCAGAGCTCAGAGACGTTGCAGCTAAATCGAGATCCATGCACCAGATCAACAATGGAGATGAGATTGACGAGTTTGCTTCCAAGCTTTTATGATTTCCAATCTCCATCCATATATACATATACAAGCTAGCTTAGCTATACATCCATATGTTTTGCTGGTCTCCTCTTCTCTGTACTCTTGGGTTGAATTCATCCATAAAGATCATACTCCAAGCAACTTCATGAATTCATCTCTTGGTAGTATTATACGGAGTATATTCCAAGCAACTTTATTCATACGTGTGAATTCAATAACAATAATTTCCTCATGTTTTAATATGAATGGAAAGAGGTAGTAATATATATGCATGCTTGTTTATTAATTTCATGTGAATATAATCTATCTTACGTAATTAATTGTACATTATTCTCTTCAAAATGGACTAGTTATCTAACCCTAACAATGTAAAGAGAGAAAAGAACAATACATAAATAAACATAAAATGAAATATACGATAGTATATCTTTTTTTGGAAGAAAATATATCTAACAATGCATTGCATTATGAAATGTTAAATGTTTTTTTGAAAGGTGTTAAATGTTGATATTAAGAAATACTCTCTCCGCCCCCATTTAAATTTTTACAATTTCTGTTTTGGGAAGTCACATTTTCTCCTTTACGTTTCTTTTTTAGGCAACTCTTTTTATATTAAATGTCCTAACTACCTCTCACTATTCACCCATTTTTTACATTTGATTGGATAACATTAATTCCCCTTAAAAGTCAAAAGGCATACAAGACATTTGTTCTTCTATTAATTGAGCTCCTACAATACCGTGTCAAAAACAAACGTCAGGAAGGTCAAGTTCTATTCAGAACGGAGGGAGTACCACAATAACTCACTATTGTTTTAAAGACACTTTTCCATTACAGAATCTCAAAGGGGTGGAAATGGAAACCTAATAATGTTTTAGGGAATATATTTTAAAATTATACTCCCGTAATTTTTTTACAGGGCCCGGTCTGCTCAAAAGTCAAAACTTGAATAATTTTACTTGGTGAGACTCCATATTAGTTTAGTGTTTCACTGAGGTCCCCGTCTTGGACCAGTGAACCGGTCAAAGTAATTTTTTCTACGTATATTACAAGACCAAGTAAAAAACACGTTTAACGCAGTCCAACAAACCAAATAGCCTGATCTCGCATGGGGGGCATGGGGCAACGTTTTCTCACATTCTTAAGTAATTTAATTTATTAAATCAATAACATTTTTAATAAAACTTATTTTTCATGATATAAAAAGTTTACCAAATGAACAAGTATAATAATTTAGTACCCAAATTTTTTCACCTAATGTATACCCAAATTTTATAAGGGTGTTTCAAAATACAACCCCATGTTTACTATTCAAAGCCACCATTTTTTAATACAATCAAACAAGCATTAGTAAATTTCCCATTTACCCCGACTTCTTCTCTTCTGTTGTAGCATTTTCTTGTGCACGAGTATGAAAAACTATGTGCTATCTATGAGCATGTTTGGCATTCAGCGGTTAGCAGATTATATTAGCGGGTTCTCAATAGCGAATTCGATCAGTGGGTTTGATTAGCGGAATAAATTGGGAGGTTGTGAGAACATGTTTGGTAATTTAGTTGTTTGGCCATAAAATTAGTAGATAACGTCATTTTTCAAAACATCAATCCAAAATTCTCCTATTAACAACGTCTTCTTTTCAGCGTTTCCATCCAAAAACGCTAGTGCCAAACAACTATTTACAAAACAGCTTTTTCACTAATAAAAAACGTTAACAGTGGTTTCACGTACCCCCACCTAATATCCAAAAACGTCTTCTTTTCAGCGTTTCACTAATATGAAACGCCATTTACGTGACCCCCCCCCCCCCCCCCCCCCCCCACACCTATATGTTTAAACGCCATGTTTCTTTAAAACGTTTTCCCGACCAATACGCGGAACACTTTCCACAATTAATGAGTGTTTAAAAAACTTATCTTAAGAGGAGTTTGAAGGAAAACGTGACTGAGGATGAAGTAGTCATTGCGGCAGCCACCGGGAAGTGGGAACGCCAATGACTTGTACACAAATTCTCGTCCTGCTCCTTCAAACAAGCAATCCTATTTAAGTTGTTACTACGTATTAGGCAACTTCAGGGGACCTTCAAAACCTACTTAGATGACATCCTTTTAAGCCGCCAAATGCTTTTGTAGCTATAGACTAGATGAATGGAGTCCCACATAATGTCAGGAAGTTTGTTAATAAGAGCAGGATATATGAGTGCAAGACATGTAAGTAGAACTGATCAACTGAAGGGGGTCATTGTATAAAGATTAAAATGAAATTGCGGATTTTGTCAGCAAGTTAAGTTCCTGGTGACCGACATTTTGTCAACTGAAGGGGGTCATGTTTTAATAATTTTAAAAAATACACATAAAATATGGAAACTTTTTCTGACCATGTGTTTGGAAGAAGCCTATAAAGGAATGTGCCAATGTGGTGTTACTGGTGTGTGAGTAAATCATGTGGATGCAGCTATTCTTACTCATGCAGTCATGACTCATGCGAAAGAAATATAACAAGAGATGATAAAACATGAGTGAACGGGGAATTTAAAAATACTTTTTGATTGTATAAAAAAATTGTGGCTTTGAATTGCAGCTTCACAGCTGTATCTAGAAATAGTAATTTTATAGACTCAATAATGTCCAATTCAATATTTAGTTTTACATAAGAATCGAGTATTTATTCATTCACTTAATCTAGACACAATCTGACACTCAAATTACTCCTTCATGGCCTAGACTACCAAATTTTGGTGACACCATTAAAACCGAAGTGCATTTAAAATAAAGTTGAAGATCAAATCGGGGAACAGTCCTGAAGAAATTGGAGAACACTAGTAGTTCATTAGAGCCACTAAATAATAACAAAGCAGTGATAAGGAATGTGAAATGACATAACGCCTTGATAACGCACCAACACAAACCTAGTAAAAATCCTGGGTGGGTAGAATAGTTAATACCAAGAATCACGGTCTATTTCTCGTCAGGAAACCTTCTTTGTATCAGAATGTGAGAGCTCCCTATCCAGTGACTGTAACTGCCTTCTCAGATGCTGATTCTCTCCAAGTAAACGATCATACTCGAGAACTAACCCATCTGTTTGCTTCTTCAAAGCGATCGAGTTGACTTCAGAGTTGCTTGCTTCTTTTCGATTCTTATCCAGTTCTGATTCCAGTTGCTTGATCCTTCCCTGCAACGACCTTGCCTGCTCCTCCAAAGATCTTACTATCTCACCTGATGAATCTCGGCTCTTCTCCTCCTCGAATGCCCGGCATTTCTTTTTAACTGCTTCCATGTCCTTCCTTCTCATCCTAAGCTCTCTAATGTAATGGTGCAGCCTATCGATCATCAGAGCTAGGAAGAGTGAAAATCCTACAAGCAGACCATACACAACATACTACTCAGAATTACAACATATTGTTCATGCTCCCATATGCTAATCAGAATTACAAGGATTATCTGACCCAAACAAAATGCACATTCCATTCGCGCAAACCACAGCTTGTTGCATTTAGACAATCATTTCGTAATTGTTCCTAGATGCGCCTACTCATTTAAACAATGAATTCAGTCAAATATCATATGAATATACTGTTGAGGATCAATATATTAACATATACTACGTACATAATGAATTGATGGACCAATGGACCATTTTTAAGAGAGATTATGAATTGTGATGCTGAGTGCTACACTGTAATTCGTTAGTGTCAACTAGTCTCCGTATATAGAAACTATGACTTATAGTAATGATGATGAATTATTTAGACTCTTAGGAGTAAATATTTTAGAATTATTGATAGTTCTATGAATTTAAATGGGATAAATATTAACATGAGGGGTAAAGAGTGGAAATGACCCCAACTCGAGGGTAACTAGTTGATTTTGAAAGTTGAACTAATAACTATGACCAAAAAGCCCAATAAGTTCTATCATACTTACTGAGATGCTAATACATTTTCCAAAACAGATGCTAATAATTTTTCCAAAAGAGATTCAATCAAATCTGAGTTCAAATACTGGAAGAACCAATTGAAGTTTATCTTAATCATTACTGCTTTAGGTTTGGCTAGGTTAAGAGCCCATTTGGCGACTCTTTTTCTAATGAGACTTTGGTCAACCTTCTCTCACACTAAATTGTGTAACAATCGATATAAGTAAGTTAAAGTTAGAGTTACTTCATTAATGAATTGGTTGAAGTTACAATAGAAGATTTTAGCTTCTTAAATTTCAGAAGATTCAGCTCTAATTTAAGTATTACCAAATGAGCTCATAGTTGAAGCTATGCAAAAAATGGAATTACAGGCCGGCATAATTCAAATCTTAGCACAAACAGTTATTAATTTTGTGAAGTTATTAATAGCTTAGGACTGTAATTCCTAATCAGCGTCTTATTAATCCACAGCAATTTGTAAATTACATTGAAGCAATTGTTCACTTTTCTAAAATCTTACTCATTACAGTTGAACTTACACTGCGGGCAGGGAGGGGGATAGGCATAACAGGAAGCAAAAAAGAGAAGGTATTTACCCATGAGAGAAGCTTCGAGAAGGTGTTGAGCCAGGAGAATCTGATCGGTGGGGGTTATGTCGCCGCCGTCGTCTTCGATCCACCGGTTGCGAATAGATATTACATTGTAGACACTGGAAAGCATGACTACTAAGACGGTTCCAGCGACGGTCTTAACGATGATAGGTCCGCGGCCGCGTTTGAGGCGGTCAAGCCCCAATATTACAAGCTTGCGAAGAGGAGTTTTAAACACGAAGACCAGGATGAGCGCCATCTCGGCGAATATCAGAGGGAAGAGAAGCTGAATCATGATTTACAAAATATAAGTGCGAAATCCTTCTCCAGCGTTTTCTTTCACGGGTGTGATGGAAATGGGAAGGAGAGCAATTTTATTCACTTCAGAGATGTTCATATATTTAGGCCGCTCAATGGGTCGGACCGGTTGTTTTTAACGGGTATGAGACTATATTATATTCCGTTCATTTGGACCGGCTTCGAATCCGTTAGTATTTTTAATAAATGAGTCGGATATGATAGTTGTTTAAACAACCCGGACTTGTTTAAAATTTCTTATAAGTAGGTAGACACACACACTAATACATAAAATGATTAGCTGTAATACTTCAAATAGAAAAATACAAACTAAGGATGTTTTTACTTGGACTGTAATTTGCTGGTCTGGTCTGGTCTGGTCTAATCTGTTTTGGTCTGGTCTGGTCTGTTTTGGTCTGGTCTGGTCTGATCTGGTCTGGTCTGGTCTGGTCTGGTCTGAAATTTTATTTTTTATATTTTTTGCATAATTTTTTTTATATATATAATGATCCATAACTAATTTTTTATAATTAAAAATAATAGTATTCCTTCCAGCATGCTAAAATTTTGTCTATTCGTTATAAAAGTAATAATACTAATAATAATAATAACAACAACAACAACAATAATAATAATAATAATAACAACAACAACAACAACAATAATAATAATAGTAATAGTAATAGTTATAATGATGATGATGATGATGATGATGATGATGATGACGACAACAATAATAACAACAACAATAATAATAATAATAATAATAATAACAACAACAACAACAACAACAACAAAAACAAGAATAATAATAATAATAATAATAATAATAATAATAAAAATAATAATAATAATAATAATAATAACAACAACAACAACAATAATAATAATAACAACAATAACAATAACAACAACAACAACAATAATAATAATAATAATAATAATAAAATGTGGTCTGGTCTGTTTTGGTCTGGTCTGTTTTGGTCTGGTCTGGTCTGTTTTGGTCTGGTTTGGTCTGGTCTGGTCTGGAACGAATTACAGTCCAAGTAAAAACAACCTAATACACACCCATATACATAATAACACATAGAGTTAATAATTGCAATTCTTCAATTAAAAATATACACACTAATGCACATATTGTATAAGTGATTTTTTTGCAAATACATATTTTATGAGTGATACTAATCGAGATAGTGAGATACCCTAAAACTCATACCCATTTTCGCCATTTATACGTATCGATAAAGTGTGTATTGGTATCGATAGGCAAATCCTAATATATCATATATAATTCTTTTATACTCGCAGTAGTCTATTCTACGAGCTTTCCTCACGCCAGAAAGTGACACAGATTGTGGAGCTTTCCTCAAGAACCGATACTATATTGGATAAAAGTACTAATTTTCTATGAGAGTTCTTGATTATTTTTTTAAAAAATGAAGATATATTTTTGCTTTTTAAGTTTGCGCACTTTGTTTTACATTTCATTTATAGGCCATGTTATTTTCACAAAGTTTACGATAGTGTTCATATCATACTTGGCGGGTCTATCCGACCCAGTTCCAAGACTCGTTGGATCCGGATCTGTGTCCAAATTTTCAGACCCGTCGGATAAACGGGTCGGGCCCGAGTCCATTATTATCTTAGCGGGTCTGGGTCAGGAACACTACGTTCTGATCCGGACCCGACCCATTGATAGGCCTGCATGTATTCCTATTTGCCCGCATTGTTAAACTTTTTTCATATAGTCCTATTTTAAAAAATTATCAATTTTTAATATTTTATGATTTTTCATATGATATCAATATTACATAGTACTAGTACATAATTAAAATTAAAAATATCCAATTCCATATAGATATTTTGAAAAAATATTTTTTTCAATTTTTTATGTGCAATATCGGTACCATTGTAAAGACAAAATTGATATATTTTAATAAAAATTTAACTATAAATAAAAAATTAGTTTTTATCTCAAATAGGACTAAAACTAGTGCAAAAATCTAAAATAGGACTACTTATCTTTTTATTTTAAAATAGGACTATATGAGTCCTATTTGGAAACATGCTTATATTTCCCTTCCTTTTTTACCCCTGGTATGTTATTTGCCTAACACTTTAATATTTTAGTCCGGTTAGTTTTCCGTTACCGCCACCGCCTTCTTTCTTCTTCGCTTATCTTCGTCTCTTTCCTTCCGTTCCATAGCCTCTGCAACTCCAACTAACTCAACGCAATCTGTTCGCTTATCTCTGTAGCTCAACAAACTCACCTCTAATTCGTTCGATCAGCTCTGCAACTCAACTTGGCGATTATACATGCCGGTATGTGAAATTCAATTTGGCAACTGTTCGATCATCTCTGCAGCTCAACAAACTCAACGCCAATTCGTTCGATCAGCTCTGCAACTCAACTTGGCGAGTATACTGGCTGGTATGTGAAGTTCAATTTGGCAATTATATTCGTTTTATATGCAACTTCACAATCAGAGTCATTGCCTTTTATTTTGTTTGTATTAAATTTCATGCTTTAATGTTTATTATATGTATTTCACACAACAATTGTTTGCTATGACGAACAATATCAACAATCATGCTATTTAATTTTTTTCAACATGATTATGCTTCCTATCTTAATCAAATCCTAATGTATTGTCTGAGCAACCAATCACTTCTTCAACATACTGTAATATTATTGCCAAACTATTGACAAATTCAATTTAAAATATATGACATGTTTTGAATTTGCTCTCTGCATCATTTTTGTGTTTGCACTTTTGTTTCAATTGTTTGCTATTTAATTTGATTTACTAACATGATTATCCTTCCTATCTTAATCAAATCATAATGTCGTCTTCCATGTGACATTATTTGTTTATCATTGCCAGGAATGTTTTCAAACTTGTGCTTGCATTTTTTTATGTTTTTTCCATAAACTTGGCATTTTGATTTACAATATATGACATTTTTTAATTTTGTTTGTTACTCTTTTTCTCCTTAGTTGTCGATATGGATTCTATTCTTCTTATTATGGTGAAAGTAGATGGTGTTTGGGACAATGCCTACAACTTCAATTGAAGTGCCACCTTTGCTATGCAAGTTCTTTTCTCTGCTAAATACACAGCTTTTATGGAACAATTATCTTCCATATTTTCTCCTTACAAACTAAATAACCACTTCAAACTATCTTACATGGTTGATGGTTGTCCTCCACCTGTTTTTATTCATGATGAGGAAACGTTTCATTTTTACCTTTATCTTAAGTCTCTTCAAAGTGATTTTCAAAAATCTCCCTTGTGTGTGGAATTCTCAGTGGATCAACCTGACGCACAACATGTTGTATATGATCTCACATTTTCTGTTGCACAAACTGTTGTAGCTGAAATTCCATGTTCATCAAATCAATCTTCTGGTCAAATTCATTCTTCCTTCAACAATAGTATTGAAGAACATGACATCCATGTTAACAATGAAGTCAATGTTATAGACACTTCCCAAAGTTATATGACCAATGCAGATGTGCTTTCTTGTAGTCCTACCCCAGAAGTTAGCTCTAGTCCATCACCTTCTTCTTCACTTTCTAATGACACCTTTTATGTTCATCATAATTTGGAAATCATCACTCACTATCACCCCACTCAGATTGTATATCATGTTTCTTACAAGTGTAAAGCGACTCTTCTTCACCATTTGAAGCTTTACACAATAGACAATGTGTTCCAATAATTCAAGACACTTACATCAAAGAAGAAATGTTTACACGTTATCTGCTTGGATAAAAAATGTAAATGGGCTGTGAGGGCTGTAAGACCACGTGGTGTCCAAATGTTTCAGATACGAAGGTATTTCTCCATTACTGTATATTTAGTTAACCATTCTGTCTTGCTTTTTTATTCCATTATTTTGGCATTTTTTTCCACTTTGTATTCATATTAACATTTTTATTACTTTATTTTCTGTAGATTTACATCATCACATACATGCTCTATTGATTTTCGTCAAGGAAAACATTGCCAAGCAACCTACCGCACTGTTGGAGAGCTTATATCGCATAAATTTTTGGATGCGTCGAGAAATCCTTATAAACCAAATGAAATAAGGGAAGACATGCTTCTGAATCATGGCATTTCCATTTCTTACACGCAGGCATGGAAAGCTCAGAAGATAGCTATGCAGAAACAATTTGGATCAGATTCTGACTCATACCAAATGCTACCGTCTTTGGCGTATGCTCTTGAAAAGGCAAATCCATATTCTCCCATTGCTCTTATAACTTCAGAAGATGATACCTTTTGTTATTTTTTCATGTCCCTCTTACCTTGGAGGGAGGCGTGGAAATATTGCAGACCAGTTCTAATTGCAGGCGGCTCATTTCTGAAGGCGTACTACAAGGGTACCCTTCTCACAGCTTGTGCGCAAGATGCAAACGGCCAAATTGTTCCACTAGCATTTGGTGTTTGTGATTCAGAATCTAAAGAGTCTTGGTTATGGTTTTTTTCTAAAGTTCATGAAGCATTGATGTTCCGCGAGGACATGTACATTGTATCAGACAGACATAAGGGCTTGATTAGTGCAGCTAAAAAGATTTTTCCACATGCTGGCCATGGATATTGTGTTGAGCATTTGCGTCGTAACATGATTTCTAAATTTAAGGGCTCCGCGGTTGATTTAGGTTGGAAGTTCAAAGCTGCTTATATGACTTCAACTGTAAAAGAGTATGAAGAGTATATGACATCGTTGGATTCCGAAGATATCCGTATACGACCGTGGCTAGATAAAATTGGCAGTCATAAATGGGCAAAATGCATGTGCGGTCCTCGTAGGTATGATATAATGACATCAAATTGTGCGGAGTCAATGAGCAATGTTGATGTTTCAGCAAGACAGTATTCTGTCGCTAAACTCATTGACTTTTTGAGAGTAAGAATGCAACAATGGTTCACGGAGAGAAAGGAAAAGGCTGAGAAGACATCCTCTATTTTGACAAAAAAAACGTGAAAAGCTACTGGTTTCACTTCAAAGTCAAACTAGGAGACTCAGGGTTAGTTTTATTTGCTTCTGCAATATTTCTGTCTATTTTTAGGAAT